ATGTATATATATATATATATATATATATATATATACATATATATATATTTCTAAAACTTGTTCTGCATTTACTTCATCTTTATTTATCTCTCATTCTAGCTTGTCTCAAGAAAAGGTCTGAGCCGATCTCTTTTCTCTGCCACTAAGAAGTTGTTTGGTGGAGGGAAGGTCCCAGAGAAGAGTATTGCTGAACTAAAGAACACTGCAGGGCTGCTGTAAGTGACTTGAAGTACAAATAAAATAGTTGTTTTTGTTCTCATCTGACTCTTGACCCCTGTGAAATCAGCTATCCCTCAGAGGCCCCAGAGCTTCAGATCAGGAAGATGGCCGACCTCTGCTTCCTCGTTCAGCACTATGAGCTGGCCTACAACTGCTACCACACTGCCAAGAAGGACTTCCTCTCTGACCAGGCCATGCTGTATGCCGCTGGAGCACTGGTGAGACGCACACCACAGTCATAGTGCAGCTGCTGCTTGAGATTAGCTCCACAGATAGGCACTCTAGCTCTAGTTTCTGTGGGTTATCAGAGTAGTACTGTCTGAACTCGCCTCAGACTGACTGCCTGCTGTCTCTGTCTCTACAGGAGATGGCTGCTGTCGCTGCCTTTCTGCAGAGTGGGGCACCCAGGCCGTACCCAGCACACTACATGGACACGGCCATTCAGACCTACAGAGACGTGTGCAAGTAAGAACATGCATTCGCTTGCGTTTTCCTCCCACCCCCATTTATATAGTATTTGGTAACATATTATAATTGTTTTAGTATTTTAAATGTAAAATGTTAAAAAACTAAATTAAGTAAATCTAATGCTTTTAAAAATTAAGATGTAGTTTTAGTTCTTGCTTTATTTTGAGAATTGTAATTCATTAAGTAACTAACCATTTGAATTTTTGCTTCAGTGTTTCATACTGCATTTCAAAACTTAAGTTTAGTACTTTACTGTTTTTATTAGTATTTTAAATCAACGAATGAATAAATTAATACATAAAATTAGTTTTATTTTTTTATTTCTGTTTTAGCTTCATCAGTTTTTGTTTTAATGTATCTTTTTACATTTTATTTTATTTTTATTACTATTTATTTTAGTTCTTGGATATCATTTTATATGGCTTTTAAAAATTTGCTTCGTTTTATTAAATAAATAGGCTGGACATTTTTAGGCCGGACATTGCTTCATGTGCTTTTAGAAATAAATTTTTTGTTTTATTTTTTTTGTATTTTTTATTATAATTATTAATTAAATTTTTTATTTCATTTTATTTGATAAAATAAATGAATAAAAAGCATTTTTATTCTTGCCTTCTTTTTTTTATACTGGACATCACTTTGTGTGACTTTTAGAAATGTGTTCAGTATTTTAACATTTTGCTATTACATCAATCAATAAATCAATCAGTTGTCATTTTTAGGTCAGACATCAGTTTGTTGCTTATAGAAATTGTTTTTTTTTTTTTACTAATAAATAAATTCGTACTGGACAATCCAACATCCAAAGTAAAAGTTTTTGTGTACATAATATATGTGTGTGTACTGTGTAAATTTATTATGTATATATAAATACATACATGCATTTAAATATTTAAGAAAAATGTTATGTTTAGATATTAAATATATTTATATATAATATAAATTATATGAATATAAATATGCATGTAAATGTAAATATTTTCAAAATATATACTGTATGGGTGTGTCTTTATATATGCATAATAAATATACACAGTACACACATATATAAACAAAAACGTTTATTTTGGATGCAATTATTTTAGGGCTGTCAAAATTAATGTGTTAATAATGCATTAATGCAAAATAATTTTAACGGCACAATTTTTTATTAACGCAGCACTCATTTTCCGTTTGACCTGTGGCCTAGCCCGTAGTTGGAGAAATCGAGATGCACAGTGTTTCCAACTTAGATTTAGCGACTTTTCAGACTCCTTTAGTGAATTTATTTATTTTTTTCTAAAAAAGCACCTAGCGACAAATCTAGTGGCTTCTTGGACAAACCTTTTTAGTTTCTGAGACTCTCCAGTACTGCCGCACGGGGTCTTGCTTTCCCAGCATGCACACACCTCTTTAGCCCCGTTCACGCTGCCAGCGACTTTTTCGCTGTATGTCGCTAGACTCTGTGCTGTGAAGATGCTTGTGGGCGTTCCTACTGCTGTTGCTCGAATGTTATTGGTAGACTGCACGTCTGGACATATAAAATGCAATCACAAACTATATTTATATATTGCCGGTAAAACTAAGATATCATTTTAATATGACTAGGAATTAGACTTAAAAGAAATAAAAGTACCACTCTGCTGTTGGAGAGTGTTGTTATATAAACTACAGGTGCTCGTGCATTAGATCATTAACCGGTGCTAAACTGCTCACTGCATCATATAATTAACAACTCGAACCATCAATATATGAATCAAACGGTTTCTTTTCTACGCATCATGTTTGTTATATCCATGTATGTGGTTACAGTAAAATCATATAAAACAGTGAAATTGCTCAGGAAATCTGTCCTGTCTTGCGGCACCTGCACTCGAGACGGTGACGTGTGAGCTCCACTGACAGATTCTTCACTCCTATTGGTTGTCGCTAGCGAAATTTGCTGTTCATTTGCGTAAAGTTAAACAATTCTTAACTTTTGTCGCTTGACACGCCCACATTCTGTCGCCAACGGTCACTGTCGCTCGTGTCGCCGGAAGTCGCCAACTTTCCAGCAAGTGAATCTTGACTTTCACTAATGAAGAGAATTGATAAACCATTTCTCTGAAAAAGCTCAAAGGTTCATCTCATGAATCTTCAGTTGGAAAGCATATACTGTATAGACAGAGGACAACACGAGAGTTACAAATTCTAACAATGGACTTTCTTTTTTAATTTTATTTTCATCTTTGTGCCCATATTTCTTTTTCCTTTTCTATATCACAATGACATTGTAATGTGTTTTTTTTTGGTCAGACCACTAGTAAAAGTGTAAGTGGAATTCTATCCAGTCTCTTTCAATCAATATCCCACATACCGTAAAGAGTAAATTTGTACATTTTTAAATGGATATATGGCATACATAAGCATATGGCATACTGTTCAATACAGTAACTGTCATCCAAAATGCTGCCATAGTTTACTTTAGGTAATACTATCAAAGTGCACTGTTATATTGACAACATGACTAAGCATTTTGTCTATCTTGTTTGTGAACAATGGCACAAGTACTTTTCATTCTGATGGCACTGATATGTTCATTGACATAAATACTTACTTTTGAGAGATGAACTAAAGATTTTCAGTAAGTTACAGGCTTTTGCAGGTAATCCATTGTGTGGTGCTGTTTGTACGAATTGTTTTGAGAAATGCACATACATTTTTGCAAATATTAAGGACGATTCGAGAAATGCACCAAAGCAATTGAGAAAAACTGTAATTGTTTTGTTGATATTAACGAACACTTGTTACAAATACATAAACATAAAAACACAAACCCTTATGTGAACAGCTGTGTCGGCTTTCTCAAAGTCTGATAATAAACCATATTAGAAATTCGTATGCTTTCAAGCTGTTTAATCCCGACACACAAACAATCATTTTTGTCTAAAATGTGTTGATTAGGTTATAAGCAGTAATGAGACTGTAGGCTACTTATGAAACTGTCTAAACAGAGCAAAATATGGTCTCAGGTCTCTGTGCTGTTATGACTCATCATTTGCTAGGCAGAAATGAAGGAGGCAGGGTTATAAAGCAAGTTTTCTGTTAAGGCTCCTTGTAAAAGAGAGATGTTTGTTGCTCCTGAACAATGTGAATAGGCTAATAATTATATTATAAAAGACATTAATTTGTCTTGAAGATACAGCCTATAATATTTTTAGTGCTGGGCAATGATTAATCGCATCCAAAATAAACGTTTTTGTGTACATAATATATATGTGTGTGCTGTGTATATTTATTATGTATGCATACATGCATGTATATATTTAAGAAAAAAAATATATTAAATAAATATATAAATGATATGAATATAAATATATACATGTAAATATTTTCAAAATATATACTGTATGGGTGTGTCTTTATATATGCATAATAAATATACACAGTACACACATATATAAACAAAAACGTTTATTTTGGATGCAATTATTTTAGGGCTGTCAAAATTAATGTGTTAATAATGCATTAATGCAAAATAATTTTAACGGCACAATTTTTTATTAACGCAGCACTCATTTTCCGTTTGACCTGTGGCCTAGCCCGTAGTTGGAGAAATCGAGATGCACAGTGTTTCCAACTTAGATTTAGCGACTTTTCAGACTCCTTTAGTGAATTTATTTCTGCCAGCGACTTTTTCGCTGTATGTCGCTAGACTCTGTGCTGTGAAGATGCTTGTGGGCGTTCCTACTGCTGTTGCTCGAATGTTATTGGTAGACTGCACGTCTGGACATATAAAATGCAATCACAAACTATATTTATATATTGCCGGTAAAACTAAGATATCATTTTAATATGACTAGGAATTAGACTTAAAAGAAATAAAAGTACCACTCTGCTGTTGGAGAGTGTTGTTATATAAACTACAGGTGCTCGTGCATTAGATCATTAACCGGTGCTAAACTGCTCACTGCATCATATAATTAACAACTCGAACCATCAATGTATGAATCAAACTCACTTAGACAGCCAACGGTTTCTTTTCTACGCATCATGTTTGTTATATCCATGTATGTGGTTACAGTAAAATCATATAAAACAGTGAAATTGCTCAGGAAATCTGTCCTGTCTTGCGGCACCTGCACTCGAGACGGTGACGTGTGAGCACCACTGACAGATTCTTCACTCCTATTGGTTGTCGCTAGCGAAATACGCTGTTCATTTGCGTAAAGTTAAACAATTCTTAACTTTTGTCGCTTGACACGTCCACATTCTGTCGCCAACGGTCACTGTCGCTCGTGTCGCCGGAAGTCGCCAACTTTCCATTGAAAATGAATGGGAACATGTCGCTTTGTAGCTGGCAGTGTGAACGGGGCTTTTCTCTGCTTCTGCTCTGTTCAGCGAGGGGCGGAGAAGAGCAGCGCTTTCAGATAAAACAGATATTATGTTGCTTCTCTAATTTTACATGCAAGTATAGCCGAAATCACATCACAGCTGTGTATTTGATTTGATTTCATCAGACGATGGCTCGATTATAAATCAGGGTTTTTGTGCAGATTAAGATCTTGGAAGGGAGAGCTGGTTATGTAGTTTTAATGGGTTGCGTTTCAGTCATTATTTCCTATTCATTCTGTAGTATGACAACAGAAACCGTTTTATTGAGAATTTTGCTGCATCAAAATACAGTATGTGGGCACTCGTGTCCACACTTTTATGTGTCAAAATGCTCATCTTTGCAAGTATCCTCATAAACAGTAATTTAGGTATTAAGTGAAAGCAAACAGCTGAGAAAGAAAACGTGTAACAGTATATTGGTCGATATCGTCGACTTGATTGCACAGATACCATTTAAACTGAACTGAGCTGCATGACGACATCACTGAATTCAATGATGAACTGCCTTTAACTGAAAATTGAATGTTTACTATTGTCCTTTTGCATTATTGACACTATTTTTCCTGTTTAATACTGTAAAGCTGCTTTGGCACAATCTGTATTGCTAAAAGCACTATATAAATAAAGGTGACTTGACTTGGATCCGGGCAGCTCTTAAAATGACAGCAGTCTAAAAATGCTGCTGTCTGTCATTCATGTTAATCAAACAACAAAAAGAGAGAATATCTCTCACTGCTCTTGACTAAATCACTTTTGTAACTTTAATAAGAAGAAATATATTTTGTTTACACAGTGAAGAATATGTAGTGTTTTTATGTATTTGATTATTTTATGCAATGTAGCATTTCTTATTTAATTGTTCTACTGTAGTTTTTTGTCCTGTTGCTTGTAATTAGTTTCTTCTTATTTAATTGCTGACTGTTTACTTGTCTTCAGTGACTTTTTTTTTTTAACTTCAGGCTAGTATTTTTTTTTTTTTTAAAGATGTTGACACTGGTGACAAGAATTATGATATTTATATCATATTATGATATTTGAATCAAAAATGTTGATATCATAAAGACTTTATTTAAAGCATAAACAATTATATTGTGATGCATGTCATTAACGTGAAATAAAATTACTCATATTGTGATATGAGTTTTTGATTATATTGACCACCCCTAGGAAGCATACATACTCTTGCTCTATAATGTGACCAT